AATATTTTAGAAGTGTCCATAAAATTAATGACGGTACTGTATGCAATGTCAACAATTAAATATTTCAAGAATGCGTATCGAGATTAACTACTTAATTGAAAAATCTTAGGAAGCTTCAACATACCATTTAAGAAGTTAAGCACCGTAAAATCTGAAGAACATCGATTGTAGCACATAAAAAAGAATTTTTCTTTTAGTAAGACCGCAATCGTGAACAAATATTTTAAAACAATTTTTCAATGTCTAATAATGCGATTCTATTGTGGGCATATCAATTAACAGCTGTTGAAAACGGTATCGAGTTTAATCATCTTCGTCGGAAATCTGCAGCCTTGAGGATCCGAATATCAAGGTTACTTTTACTCTCTATTAAAGAGCTAGTTTTGTCTTCAAATATTTGCCTTCTGACGTAACCATGCGATCAATAAAACTGACTACATATCGTTTAGGAGTAAGTGAACAAACATTTGAATTTTTATCGTTTTTATATTACTATGACTTTTAAGGCAAAAAAAATATCAGGTGGAACATTTTCACAGACGATTGTGATTTCAATCAAGAGTATAGTCGGTGATTTATAATTTCATATTCATAGTTTCTACCAGATCAGACTATAGGAAATAAATTAGAGCAAAACTCTTTGACATTTTATTTTGGACTCACAGAAGATAAAATGGTAATCTTTGGTGGTTTCATCTCATCTTTCAGAGCAGCTTTTGAATCGATTTGAAATCGAATCGTTCATTGCTGCTTTTAGCAAAAACTTAGTCTTCTTTCAGAGGAATGTTGATCGCGTTCAGCTTTTTTCAGGAAGAATAAAAAATGAGAAATATTAAAATTTTTATGACGCTGCGACTGTTATTGAAAACAATTCAGCTTAGATATTTTTATACATTTTTGAGAAACTTATAACAAAATATGTCTATATAATTTATTAACAAGATGTATTTAAATTAAAAACTTTCACTTTATAATTCTCTCTTTGTTACAGATTTTATAATATTTAGAATCAACGAGGTTAAATAATTTCATGGCTCTAAGTTGCTAAATTTGGGATTGACATCCAATTTCTCCTTCCCAACATTACATCAGACTCGTGATTTTTGAAAGCCAAGATATTTAATACCAAATGCGACTTTTAAGATCACGCCTTGAATATTCTAAACCTC